CGTCCGATCTCGGAAGCTAAGCAGGGTCGAGCCTGGTTAGTACTTGGATGGGAGACCGCCTGGGAATACCAGGTGTTGTAGGCTTTTTGTTCTCGGCTTTTGCCTCTTTCCGTCGGCAGGGGGAGCGCTGTCTACCCCGCGTGTCGCTCACGCACAGCGGGGCTGGCGGGTTCTCGTCTCTCGGGGGCACCGCTACCTCGGCCTCGAGCTGCACCGATTCCTCGCCTGGTCATTCCGTGTCGTGCATTGTAGAGTTTTGTGCTCCACTAGGACCCACAGCTTACAGAGGGGCCCTTGCATATGAACGTCCCGCAGTTCACCAGCGTTCACTCACTCTGTTGGTGAGACACTGATTGTCAAAACCAGCCCAGAGTTTGTTCCTGTGGTCAACCTTTGCTAATGAAACGATTCACTCTCAGGTCGCTTGGCTGATGGGATATGTAAAGAAATTATTTTATTTTCTGGATTTCGCGCTGCTCAATGCATTTTCGCCGGTGCCAAGATAATTTCATCATTTTACTTTAAATATAAATTAGTATGATTTAGTAGCCATAATTTTTGATTGATTAAAGGATGTGACTCAATGGCAACTAATAATTAAACTGTTCTTCCGCCAACAAAAAAAATGGTCATCAAAATGCATAGTTTATAACGTGTTATTCTTATCAGGTCTCGTGGTGTAAATAAGTGCAAGACGCCAACTCTAATTCCCCACTATCCCCTCTGCAGTGGGCAGTGCACAACACCCGCTTGTTGCACCCCACTTCTATGTACAGAGATCCCCGCCCTCACTAACCCCAGGGACCAGCGTGGACGCGCGGTCAAATAAGCCCCATTACCCACTCGGCATGTGGAGGCCCTCATCCAGCAGTGGATTGACAGAGGGTTGTGAACGTTCAATGAGGCAGCTGTAAATAAATGTTTTAGCCGTGCGCCAGGAATAAAAGTCAGGTCGCAAACCCAAAAACCTGACCAGCGTGGCGATACACGGTTAACAAAAACTATATCCGACGTGGTTTTGGCAGACTTTCATCCAGCAGTGGAAGCACAAAGGCAGTAAAACGAAGCTGTCGTCAGCTCGAGGCCGAGGTAGCGGTGCCCCCTAGGGACGAGAACCCGCCAGCCCCGCTGTGCGTGAGCGACACGCACAGAGTGGAACTTGCATATTGAAGTCTGTGGGGAGCTCTGCCAACTCGGGGTGAGCCTGTTCCAATTGTTTAACAGCTCTTCGTCATATTCGTGGTTCTTTCGGTAAAGTCACGTAGAAGTGAATGAATGAAATAAAATACATTCAGCAATAAAATTCTCACGACGTTTCGATTGCAACACAAGCAATCATCATCAGGTGTGAAAACCACAACAACAATTTATCTTTTTTAAATCGCCACTTTTTTCAACAAAATGTCTTGCTGTGGTTTTCACACCTGATGATGATTGATTGTGTTGCAATCGAAACGTTGTGAGAATTTTTTCATTTCATTTTATTATTTCCCTTCTACGTGACTTTACCGAAAGAACCAAGAATACGAATCCCTGCAGTCACGAAAGCTTTAGATCGAAAAGCTCTTGGTCAATCCACTGCCGGATGAAAACCTCCCCACAAGCCACTGTCATGTTCATCGTGGTTATGCAATTTAACATAGAACTCTAAGCAAACAAAAACCTGATTAATTCCAATTCTGAATCCCAAGTAGTCACGAGTTTGACCCTGAACAGGCAGTGCCCTCTGTAGACATTGAAACGCCAGTTCGGCTTCGTGTGTGTGAAACGTGGAGTAAACAGCGCCCCCTGGAGACACGAAAACGCAAAAACTTTCTAAAAGCCTACAACACCTGGTATTCCCAGGCGGTCTCCCATCCAAGTACTAACCAGGCTCGACCCTGCTTAGCTTCCGAGATCGGACGAGATCGGGCGTATTCAGGGTGATATGGTCGTAGGCGAAAGCTCTGTGAAGATTCAGTAAATTCATCTCTAATGTACCGGTACTCATTTTGGAATAAAATTGTTCAACTTCCCCATAGTGTGAAGACACCGCCTGCAGTCATCCTCGCATGAACGGTGGAGTTCAACTCAAGACGTCTCGGTGCAAAGCCAAGTGGTCTCATCTCTGGAGCAGCAGCAGCCTCCCAGTTGAGCATCTATCTCAGAGTTGTGATCATATTTATATACAGTATTCGTGTGTATTTAAACCATGACGTACACACTTTGTTCATCCACTGATGGACGAATCCCTGTCCTGGGGGTTGATTGAGCATACTTCACCACGCTGGTGGACGGTGCGGGTTGGTGGTGAAGTGGTGGGGGTGGAGAGAGGCTGACCTGGTTCGGATATCACTCGACACCACCGATGTTAGCCGTACCCGGGATTCTAACTCAGCTCGGCAGCTTCACTGCACCGTGACGCTGAGAGCCACGGCGCCCTAAGGGCTGTGGTCTTGACAGTGGCAGAAGTGAGCTCTGGGCTCGCGATCTGTAGCTGGTGGTGATCACGAGTTTTGTGGGTAACATTTACTCGCTGTGAAAATATCATCAGCCATATCAGCCGGAAGAGTTGGTGTTCGAGATAAGTTTACTAAATCTCCTTTCAGCTTCCGCCTACGACCATATCACCCTGAATACGCCCGATCTCGTCCGATCTCGGAAGCTAAGCAGGGTCGAGCCTGGTTAGTACTTGGATGGGAGACCGCCTGGGAATACCAGGTGTTGTAGGCTTTTTGTTCTCGGCTTTTGCCTCTTTCCGTCGGCAGGGGGAGCGCTGTCTACCCCGCGTGTCGCTCACGCACAGCGGGGCTGGCGGGTTCTCGTCTCTCGGGGGCACCGCTACCTCGGCCTCGAGCTGCACCGATTCCTCGCCTGGTCATTCCGTGTCGTGCATTGTAGAGTTTTGTGCTCCACTAGGACCCACAGCTTACAGAGGGGCCCTTGCATATGAACGTCCCGCAGTTCACCAGCGTTCACTCACTCTGTTGGTGAGACACTGATTGTCAAAACCAGCCCAGAGTTTGTTCCTGTGGTCAACCTTTGCTAATGAAACGATTCACTCTCAGGTCGCTTGGCTGATGGGATATGTAAAGAAATTATTTTATTTTCTGGATTTCGCGCTGCTCAATGCATTTTCGCCGGTGCCAAGATAATTTCATCATTTTACTTTAAATATAAATTAGTATGATTTAGTAGCCATAATTTTTGATTGATTAAAGGATGTGACTCAATGGCAACTAATAATTAAACTGTTCTTCCGCCAACAAAAAAAATGGTCATCAAAATGCATAGTTTATAACGTGTTATTCTTATCAGGTCTCGTGGTGTAAATAAGTGCAAGACGCCAACTCTAATTCCCCACTATCCCCTCTGCAGTGGGCAGTGCACAACACCCGCCTGGTTAGTACTTGGATGGGAGACCGCCTGGGAATACCAGGTGTTGTAGGCTTTTAGTTCTCGGCTTTTGCCTCTTTCCGTCGGCAGGGGGAGCGCTGTCTACCCCGCGTGTCGCTCACGCACAGCGGGGCTGGCGGGTTCTCGTCTCTAGGGGGCACCGCTACCTCGGCCTCAAGAATCAGAAGGTAACTGGAAAACTTTATATTTTTACCAGGTAAAGTCCACTGAGCTACATAGCTCTTTTCCAGAAGCGACCTGGCCACAAATGATAGCTCAACGAAGTGGCTTATTATCACGTGGACATTTGGAGCTGCCAATTATTCTAAAGAAGCTCATTCCCAATCGAGTAAAGCCCTTTGAGCTAAGATGCTCTTTTGGAAGGGCGACTCGGCCGGCAGACATCACAGCATTCCAGAACAACAAAAAATAAAATTACATTCACACTTAAACTTTACTGATTTTATTCGCAGGGTCAGTTTTTAATGAGGGCAGAGGTGGCACCATGGAGATGCCGAGACATGAAGAAAGTTGTGGGTTCCAAACACTTTTTGGAAATATTTAAAATTAAGCCACGACTAAAATATTAAAAGTGTGTGTTTACTTGTTTTTGAGTATTTGGCTGCTAGAAACTTCCACAGCCACTTTGTTGAGCTCTCGTTTGTGGCCAGGATGCTTCTGAAGAACCGCTGTATAGCTCAGTGGGCCTTACCTGGTAAAATTAAAAGTCACGTTCTGCGCAGATTGCACTCTGTCTTTAAGAGAGAGAATGCTCATTTGATGGCAGGATCACCTGAAATGGTGATGGTTTAGGGGGGGGGGCTTCATCCAGCAGTGGATTGACCATGACTGATGATGACAATTAAGTCACGAGAAAAAGTTTGATGGCTTATTTTGTGCATTCATTAGAGAGCACTTTTAATTTCTGGCCGATTGAAACCGCGTTTCCAACCGTGGGTCACCGACAGCCATGAAAATCCTCACCCCCCTCCCACAAAATCAACCAGTTCACAATCGATAAAGACTTCAAGAATATTTTATTTCAAAATGTTTAAATGTCCCATTATTTCCTATTTCATTTGTATAAAACAACGATCAGCAATGAGAACAAATGAAACCCCAATACCAATGATGAGAGGCTCCAGGGCCGGATTTAGGAACCTTGGTCCCAAGGGACACCAGAGATGGAAGGGATCATTCCCTTTATCGCTGTCCACCAACACCCCGACTTTCACCCCCCCATGGACAGTCTTTAGGGGCCGTCCATAAATGACGTCACGCGATTTTGGACGATTTTTTTACCCCCCACTCCCTTCGTCACATAAAGTCAGACACCCCCCCCCCTCAAATATGACATCACAAAGCTCTGCCCACCCTCTCCCCAAAAAATAAAACATGCTTCAAATCGCTTTAAACTATTGTCATTGTAGTGCGTATTTAATGTGGCGCTGCACTCTGATGTTGTAGGAGAAAACATTTATTAAAAAAGTATATTTCATTAAGTAGAACGTGTTGTCTATATTTATTTAAAGTTGCGCATTTTGATGTGACGTCACATTTCTCAAACCCCCCCCCCCCCCCCATCGTCACACATCGTCACAAATGTCTGACCCCCCCCCCCCCCCCAGGTGCGTGACGTCTTTTATGGATGTCCCCTTTAACAGATTGTTGGGGAAAGTGCCCCAACAGTCCGTGACTTTACCGACAGAACCAAAGAATTGGCGAGCACCTAGAAAGTCCAGGACAACACACGAGGGGGTAGGTGGCCAACACCGCGGCAGTGCTGATGTTGCACACGCCGCACCAGCTAATCATTTACGCCCGAGTCGACCTAGGAGAGGCCCAACACCGGTTCAGATATTCGGGACCGATGTTGGCTGCAAGCGAGAATCGAACTCGGGTCCCCCCCCCCCCCGTGTTCGTCACGTGGTGCGCTAACCAGCGCACGTGCACAGTAAGAACACGCGCGGCCCATAGTCGTCCGATTAGGCTCCGGGTTGACTACGTACGGAGCAAAAGAAGTTCAACACGCGTACATGCAAGGATTGCAGGCAACCTCGTGTGTACGCATGTTGATTTTTTGTCGCACCATACGTAGACCGCCAACTGTGCTGATCGTAGCCATCGCCGCCTCGCTTAAACTGATTTAGAACCGGTGGGAGGGGGCAGCACATGGGCAGATTGGAGAATGCAATTAAAACAAACGGATAAGACACCTTGCACGAACTCGGTACGTGTTGCCGTACAGCAGTGTGAGTGAGCGAGAGCACGGTCTGGTGGTGCTGATGCTGCGTTGGCAGTGGTGCACAAGCACCGTTAACAAAACTCAGGCCAACTTGCCATCGACACTGCATTATCTTGAAAGAAGAAAATATATACATAGGAGACGTTTCGGGCAATGGGCCTTCTTTAAAGCACTACTCAGTTCTGTCTGCACACACGAATGAACACGTGCGTTTTTCATTCATGGGCCGGCCTACTGGCTCTTCAGACCAGCATCATCTAAAGAAGCGTTTGATTAAGCAAAGCAAAACACCTGCACCGGATTAGTCCTTCTTGGATTCATCAGTAGGCAGACAGGCAGGCAGGCAGACAGGCAGGCAGGCAGGCTTGTTTAAACAAATGCTGCTGGGCTTGCCGCCAGAGGTCGCAATCGGGTACCCGATACCCATACCCTACCCGATACCCGGCTACCTGTACCCGGCCGGGTACGGGTACCCGTTTGCGACCCTGGTGCGGCCGGGTACGGGTAAGGAGTCAAAACCCGTTTGCGACCTCTGGCTGCCACCAGATGCCATTGGCAAGGGAACTCCGTCATAAACCACGGGTGAAGGGGGGGGGGGGACTCTGTTCAACGCAAAAAGGCAATACGGTACACAAACTCATTACTCGTCGCTGACGAGGGTTATGGGTTAGCGGAACGAAAGCAGAGGTCGGCAGTTAACGAACAATAAAAAAAAGTAGTGAAAATTTAAATAATACAAATACAGTCCTTACTTTATCCAAAAAAAACACACTTAAAACGGTTTAAGTTTTTGGTGTCTGGACAAATATCCTGTGTTGGCCCCCCCATTTCCCTCTCCACCTGGACCCCCCAAAACTAAATCCTAAATCCAGCCCTGGTTGGGAGGGGTTCATCTGACACCGAGTACAGCACACATTCACAAAGCCATGCAGGTAAAAAAAATATACAATTACACCAATTCATTCATCACTTAAAACATATCATCAATTGGTTTACGAAAGCAATGTTAAACGATTCACAGTTATTTTTTGTGTTAGGGCACCTCGTTATGATCCGGCCAAACCTGTGTCGTCAAGACCCTCCACCACCCGACACAGTCAAATATCAATTTTCGCGCATACGAGGGTTTTAGCGGGTCATCCCAACTTCGTGGGCTATGTCCTGAAGATGTTTTGAAGCAAGTTTCAAGTGAAACACCGTATCCCAAACCACGTCGCAATTGCTTCGTGTGGTTGTGAAGATTATTCTCCGATATTTGGCACGCTACAATGCTCGTACACCATGTGACAATGTTTATCTGTGCCTGGTTTGGATGGTAAAATTCCAAGGTGGAATGCTAAATATCTTCTTCTTTCATATGCATCCTATGGTGGGATCGCGGGGTCCCGAATAAACGGAAGTCAAAATCGTAGTTTATTTTTGGCGACTCCGTCCCACCGCACACACAAACGCCGCGACCCACCTGGTACGGATCATTCTGTTGCCATATCGTCCAAGCGCAGCAGCGAGGACGAATGCGCAGAAGAAACAAAACTTTGCAATATTGACTAGCGCATCGCGTAGAGCTCGTCGAGAGAAATAGATCGCAGTGTCGTTTCTCCTTCAACAGACATAAAATGACGTCGCAACGCAGTTCATGCGAGAGCCGGGGGGCTTATGGGACCCCGGGGTCCCGCCATGAGGTTCATATGGCAGATGTAGATGCAGAGCAACAACGACAAAACCACCTTCAGGCGGTCAAGCCAGACAACCGCGTCAGGCGTTAGCGGAGTGTGTCTGTGGATCGGGCGTTGCGTTGTTATTTGTTGTATGCTCTGAATGACCAGTGTCGCACACTGCCGAAGAGTTTGGGGATTTTGGACGAGCCGAAGGAAGGGATCCATTTGTGGAAATGAAGTGGAGGGCAGAGAACTGAGAAGGACGGAGAAGACGCCAGTCAAGGAGCTGCTGTCAGGGCAGAGCGCCAATGAAGAATGTCGGTTGGTGAAGGGTCTTGACGACACAAATTTGGCCAGATCATCAAGTGGCAGAATTCTCCAAAAGAATTAATCATAAAATCATCGTAAATCACTCACATTGGCACAAGTGCGACAGATTTAACAGCTGTGCGCGGCAATTGTAATCATTTTGTAAAGAATCGCGGCGTGCCCGTTAAAACGCCGCTTCGCTCAACCCGTGTCTTGCCCGGCCGATGCCCCGATGAACCACTCAGAATGCGCTGCCCCCCCCCCCTTCGACCACCCCATCCCCAGATCTCGTCAGATCTGAGCCAGGATTGCGCTTGGAACGGGCGACTGCCACGCGCCACGAGGCGACGCTAGTAGTCCGGAATGATGAATTGACCAAGCGGTCAAATGAAGTCGTGTTGAATGTTGTGCGGATTTTGGAATAAGATTTTTATAAAATTAAATGAAAAGGAGAGGTGGGGCCTTTCTGTGTCGGTGCTCTACGACCGCGGGATCCTCCTTCTGCCCAATCGCGTCACAGCAAGTACTTCGCCCTCATCGGCTATTTTGACACTGAAGGCTTGAGGCGCATTTCTATATAATAATAACAACGTATACTTTCGATTCAATCCTGGCATCGCACGATTATTACAAGTACTTTATTTATACTTCCCATCTCTCTCTCTCTGTACGTCCGTTTATTTTCTCAACGTTTTTAAGTCTGTTTGCGCAAATGTTTTGTTTTATGTCAACTTTGTGTGAAGTGGCCTTTGAGCCTTGTTCCATGGCAGGCGCGCCTCCGATTAGTGCGGGATGGATACGTCCGGTTAAGCTCTGAACTATTGGACCGATGTGTTCAGACCAAAAGTCGCAGATCCGGGACACAGATCCTCTCCGCAGTTCCTCGGTTTAGGGGTTACTTTAGGAGGGCTCATTCCATTGTTTGACTCCCAGGTTGTGGAATGGCCTCCCAATTGACAGAGAGGCTGGTGGTTTATGCAGATTGAAAAGGTTGCTGAAGACCCATCTATTCGGTGGAACGCAACTCCTTCATCGTTGGTTTGCGGGGCCTGCTTTCGCTTTTGGGAGTGGGTACATAATCCAGGTTCGTTAATCCGGATTCAACGAGGTCCTAGTTCGGGTTCATTGACTTCCTAGTCCGGGATCGTTAAGTTCACAGTTCTGGGTTTTTTGGTTGGCAGAGAGTTTTTATTGGGTTGTTAATTGAGGTTCATGGGTTCGTAGTCCAAGTTTGAGGATGCCCAGTCCAGTGTTGTGGTCGCGTGCCTCTGCGTGTCGGGCGTTTAAGGTGCAGTGTGTGTAGGGTTGTTCACGATGCAGCGTGTAAGGTGTTCAATATTGCAGCATGCTGGTCGGAATTCTGTTCATGTGCAGTGCACCAAGAATCTGGATCAGGAATGCGTTGCAGTTTTTAAAATCAGGCTAAAGACGAATTCATAATCTCTTGAATATTTTTAACTAATGTGTGTACTACTTATTGTTTTGCATAACTAAAATTGTATCGATGTGATGTTGTTAAATTAGATGTGAATCGATCCGTGACTATTTTATTGAGAAGGGCGCAATGTTAAATACGTAGAGTTTGATCCACCGACTCAATCTCTCTTTTTAAATCCTTTATATTAAGTTCGCTTGCTTGCTTGCTTGCGTGCTTGCTTGCTTACGACCGTGCAAATCTTTCGGTCGTTTTTTAACCCACTTCCCGTGATCCAATCGAGCTGACATTTTGCACACAGACTCGTTGTGCGAGACAATTAATGTTCGTGAAAATTTTTTTTCAAAAATTTTACACTGTTTAGGGAAAACAAATTAAATATTTAATTACCAATTGCTTAATACTGGCAGACAATCATCTGACCCATAGGTGGCAGCCATCTCAAGCCAGAGGACGAGAGGACTCTAGCTGCCACGCATATAAAGGATTTATAGTGAAAAACTTTGTTTTTACGGGTTATACTTATTTCTCTCTCTGCTTCTCCTCCACCCCTTCTTTCTCCCAATACTGTGAGCAACGGGGAGGTTGTGGCTAGAACCACAACCACCAGGTGAGGCGCACTGCAGTTTGTCAGAAGCGACGTGCTAACAAATGACCGCTCAACCAAGTGGCTTATCGCGTGGAAATTTATAGGAACCGAATACTCTAAATGCACATTAAATCTAAATGTGTAGGGGGGAAAAAAACGGAAGACCCAGAGCAAAATCCATGCGGCCACGGGGAGAGGGAGAGACACCGCAAACTATAAATATACAGGCATCATCAGGGTCAAGATCAAACTCGCGTCCTCCTGCATACCGGGCGAGGGAGTTGACAACTCGCCACCGTGGCGCCCTTTCTTCCCCCCCTGCTTGTCCCCTCTCCTTCCTCTCACTCTCTCGCCTCGACTCCGTCCCTGACCCTCTCTCCCTCTCTCTCTCTAGAGCCCCCCGCCCAGGCCTCCGAGGCACACGTACTTGACGTGCATGTACTCCAGCATGCCCTGCTGGGCACCCTCGCGGCCCAGGCCAGACTGCTTGATGCCGCCAAACGGGGCCTCGACGGCTGACAGGAGGCCCTCGTTGGCGCCCACCATGCCAACCTCGAGCGCCTCGCTCACGCGCCACACCTGCGCCACGTCCCGCGAGAAGAAGTAGCCTGCCGGCGTGACGGGGGGGGAGGTCAAAGACAAAGATCCCCCGTATCGCGTTAACAGACTGTTGGAGCAAGTGGTGTTGGCGAGTAGCACCCTATGCCGGCAGCTGACATGCCTCGTGATTGCGCGAGTGGCTAACACAATGCCCGGCTGCCTTTGTCTCCCCAGTGCTGATATTTACAGACCACACTAAGTCAGCCAACCCGTGAGCGCCTGGGTCTGTCCCCATATCTTCCTGCAAGAAGCGGAGGCTTCCACACTTCAAGTGATAGCTTCAAGGTGCATCTATAGCACGGCTATAGATGCAGCGGTGACATCGTCGCCACTCAGTGGTCAATTGCGACTGTTATTGTTGGTGTTGTTGTGTGCGCGCGGAGAATGTTGGCGCAGTAGTTAGCGCACTGCGCTACGAACCCGGTGACCCAAATGATTCCTGCTTCTGGTTAACATCAATGTTGAATATCTTAACCAATCCTAGGCCTACCTCTCCTTCAATGAGTACTGGAGTAAAAGGTGGCGGGTGTGCTTCTAGCCACACCTCCCCCACGTGTGCAGCATGGGTCTTCGTAGCTGCTCGTTAACAGCACTTGGCCCAACAGCCTGTCGAATACTACACGGGGGATCTTTGTCTTTGTGCGTGTGTCTACACATGCGTGCGTGTGTCCTTTCCTCACCAGCCAGCCCCATGGTTGTGGAATTCGCAAGAGCAACCGCCTCCTCTTCAGTCTTGAACCTGGCAAAGACACAAACGTCGTCGAGGTTTATAATGGGCAGGTCCGAGAGCTACCGAGTACTTGGTCGTCCTGTGCCAGTGACCTGGGTCATCACCTCTGATTAGCACGGTTGGCTATGTATGGGTGCGAAAGATGTTCAACATAATTCTAGATTTGAAGCTTTCGTGACTGCAGGGATTCATACTCTTAGTTTTTTCGGTAAAGTCACGTAGGTAGAAAATGAAATTTAAATTAATAAAAATAAAATAATAATAATGTATTAATAAAATAATAATAATAAAAAATAATAAATCACGACGTTGCGGAGGCAACACAAGTCTCCGTCATCATGGTGGGACCGTCACAGGGCCTATTTATTCATTAATATTATGTATTTTATTATTATAATTTTTTAAATTTCATTTTCTACCTACGTGACTTTACCAAAAAAACTAAGAGTATGTTCAACATACATACATATGTAATGACGGTCGAGTCAACCTTCGGTGTGAGTAGACTAGTGGCCACGGGCGGTAATGACCGGGGAGTCAGCCTGCAGTGCGAGTGGACTGGTGGCTACGGGAATGATCGAGAACAGCAGCGTGGCCAGAGGACGGAAGAGGACAGTCGTCTGCCGGTGGAGCGAGCGGTCTAGGACCAGCGAGAAGGTTCCGGAATGGGGGCGTGGCCTGGGACCGTAGACAAGGGGGAGATGCGCGGGAGACTCGGGGATGTTGCAGTGGAGGGTCTCCGCCTGTCCGAGTGCGAGCACGTGGCTCCTTAATAAAGAAACCATCTTCTTGGTTCAGGTGAAGACCAGGTCTGTCGGGGAGGATGGCTGCTTGCATTGTGGCCGAAACGTCGTGAGAATTATTTTATTATGTTTTATTTTTATTATTTTATTATTTCCCTTCTACGTGACTTTACCGAAAGAATCAAGAAGATGAATCCCTGCAGTCACGAAAGCTTTAAATCGAAATAAACCATCTCAAGACAAGTGCGTCCAAGTCGTATTTACACATGTATACAAACATTACCAATTGAACCACACATCAATTAGGTATGATAATACTTGGGAGTCAAGGTCAGAGTGAAACTTTCATTCGGAAGCATCTGCTCATTATCAGGGTTACGATCAAGGGCGAGGTCAAGTGGAAGGGGGGCGGCTTTACTTGATGACGGGAGCCAGGGGCCCGAAGGTCTCCTCGCGAGCGCACAGCATGCTGGGAGTCACGTCGGCGAGCACCGTGGGCTGGAAGAAGCTCCCTCCGAGCGCGTGGCGCGCACCGCCCACCACGACACGCGCGCCCTGCGAGACCGCATCCACCACGTGCCGCTCCACCTGTGCACACACACACACACACGGGTTGCGTGCACACACACACAGGTTGCGTGCGCACACACACACACACAGGTTGCGTACGCACACACACGGGTTGCGTGCACACACACACACACAGGTTGCGTACACACACACACACACACAGGTTGCGTACACACACACACACACACAGGTTGCGTACACACACACACACACAGGTTGCGTAACACACACACACACAGGTTGCGTACACACACACACACACAGGTTGCGTACACACACACACAACAGGTTGCGTACACACACACACACACACACAGGTTGCGTACACACACACACACACACACAGGTTGCGTACACACACACACACACACAGGTTGCGTACACACACACACACAGGTTGCGTACACACACACACCACACACAGGTTGCGTACACACACACAACACACACAGGTTGCGTACACACACACACACAACAGGTTGCGTACACACACACACACACAGGTTGCGTACACACACACACACAGGTTGCGTACACACACACACACACACACAGGTTGCGTACACACACACACACACACAGGTTGCGTACACACACACACACACACAGGTTGCGTACACACACACACACACACACAGGTTGCGTACACACACACACACACACACAGGTTGCGTACACACACACACACACACAGGTTGCGTACACACACACACACACACACAGGTTGCGTACACACACACACACACACACAGGTTGCGTACACACACACACACACACCAGGTTGCGTACACACACACACACACACAGGTTGCGTACACACACACACACACACAGGTTGCGTACACACACACACACACAGGTTGCGTACACACACACACACACACAGGTTGCGTACACACACACACACACACAGGTTGCGTACACACACACACACACACACAGGTTGCGTACACACAACACACACACACAGGTTGCGTACACACACACACACACACACAGGTTGCGTACACACACACACACACACAGGTTGCGTACCACACACACACACACACAGGTTGCGTACACACACACACACACACACAGGTTGCGTACACACACACACACACACACAGGTTGCGTACACACACACACAACACACAGGTTGCGTACACACACACACACACACACAGGTTGCGTACACACACACACACACACACAGGTTGCGTACACACACACACACACACACAGGTTGCGTACACACACACACACACACAGGTTGCGTACACACACACACACACACAGGTTGCGTACACACACACACACACACACAGGTTGCGTACACACACACACACACACACAGGTTGCGTACACACACACACACACACACAGGTTGCGTACACACACACACACACACACAGGTTGCGTACACACACACACACACACACAGGTTGCGTACACACACACACACACACACAGGTTGCGTACACACACACACACACACACAGGTTGCGTACACACACACACACACACAGGTTGCGTACACACACACACACACACAGGTTGCGTACACACACACACACACACACAGGTTGCGTACACACACACACACACACACAGGTTGCGTACACACAACACACACACACAGGTTGCGTACACACACACACACCACAGGTTGCGTACACACACCACACACCAGGTGGCGTACACACACACAACACACAGGTTGCGTACCCACACACCACAGGTTTTGCGGTAACCACCACACAGGTTGCGTACACACCACACACAGGTTGCGTACACACACACACACAGGTGCGTACACACACACAACACAGGTTGCGTACACACACACACACAGGTTGCGTACACACACACACACACAGGTTGCGTACACACACACACACAGGTTGCGTACCCACACACACACAGGTTGCGTACACACACACACACAGGTTGCGTACACACACACACACACAGGTTGCGTACACACACACAACACAGGTTGCGTCACAAACACAAACAGGTTGCGTGCACACACACACACACAGGTTGCGCACACACACACACAGGTTTGTGCAAACCACACACACAGGTTGTGTTGTGTGCGCACACACACACACAGGTTGCGTACACACACACACACACAGGTTGTTGTGCGCACACACACACAGGTTGCGTACACACACACACACACAGGTTGCGTACACACACACACACACAGGTTGCGTACACACGCACACAGGTTGCGTACACACACACACACACGTTGCGTACACACACACACAAGTTGCGTACACACACAAGTCGCGTACACACACAAGTCGCGTACACACAACAACAACAACAACCGCCATTCGCCACTAAGTGGCGGTGACGTCACCACGAAGCTTGTGCCAGGCCATGTGCACCTTGAGGCCACGTGAAGTGTCGAACGCCCGCTGGCAGGAAGTCACGGGGCAGACCCAGGTGCCACGGGTCGCGCACACACACACACACAGGCTAGAACACACACACACAGGTCGAGCACCTATGAAGGCCGGTACGGCAAACGAGGGGGCGGGTGGCCACCACCACGCCCAGCCGCCTTTGTTTTCCGAGTGGCGATCTTTACGCATCGCACCAGGTACCCATTTGAGGCAGAGTCAACAAAGGAGAGGCCGAGGCCTGGTTCAGATCATCGTCACCGGTGTTGGGTGGCCATGAGCGGGAATCAAACTCGGGTCGCTAGGCTCCCCACACACTCACAAAGACACACGCTCGCGGGCAGACGGACGGGCGGGGACGAAGGAGGCACCCCCCCCCCCCCACCTTCTGGAGGGCGCGCTCGTTGATGAGTGGCCCCAGCGTGTTCCCCGTGTCCGTGCCGGGCCCCACGCGGAGCTGCGTCGACACAGCATGGGCGAGGCGCGACACAAACGCGTCGTGCACGCTCTCCTGCACCAGCATGCGGTTAGGGCACACGCACGTCTGCACGCGCGCACGCACAAAAATGGGCGCACACACGGATTACAGCGTGAATGTGCGAAGATGTGTACGAATTAACAAGTGATCAAGGGAGTGAGTGTGGGGGGGGGGGTGAGTGAATGAATAAGCGGGCGAAATAGTGGGAGTGTGAGCGAGTGTGTGCATGATTTTTGAGCGAATGTACGAGTAGGGTTATGAGAGTGGGTAGGTGAGCGAGTGAGTGAATTGTCTCCCTCTCCCTGTATCCCCTCCTTGTATCCCCCCCACTACCCCCCCCCCCCCCGGTGCATGTCCCCGCATCTCCCTGCCCCCCCCCCACCAGTGCGTGTCCCCCGCATCTCCCCCCCGGTGGCCCCACCCCACCTGTCCAGAGAAGCGGAACTTGGAGGTGAGGAGGCCGCGCACGGCTGCGTCCAGATCGGCGCTCTCGAAGACGATGAACGGTGCGTGTCCGCCCAGCTCCATGGACACGCGTTTCACCGTGCCCACGGAATGCGCCATCAGCACCTGGCGCGGGGACGACGGACGGCGCGACGCTCTGGATGCGACGCGCGAGACCACGTAATACAGCACGAGGCCTGCCCAACCGCCCGCACGATGCGTTCACGACGCAGGATACAACGACGACGCTCGTCGATGGAATTACCCGACCGTTCGAACGCTTGTTGAACTTCTTTCGCATCGTACGTAGCCAAATGTGCTAATCGGAGGTGTGCGGGGGAAGAACCACACACTAAACACAAAGAGCGTGATGTTTATGCTCCAACGTGTCGTGGTTCATTCGTGGCAAGCACTTTGTGCGCAACGAGCACGACCGCATCACACGCGGTGCGTGCGCGTGGTGGCGGTGGCGGTGGTGGTCGTGGCGGTGGCACCTTGCCAGTGGCGGTGGAGCCCGTGAAGGAGATCTTGGAGACGAAGGGGTGGGTGCACAGGAGCTCGCCCACGGCCGCCACGTTGCCCCGCGAACAAGGCACCACGTTGAGCACGCCTGGGGGTAACCCGGCCTCCACGGCGAGCTGGGCGACCCAACACGCAGCAGCAGCAAACAACAAACAAATAAACAACAGCCGACATTCGCCACCAACTGCTGGCAGTGACGTCGCTACGCTTGCTTGTGCCAGGCGCACACTTTGAGAGCCGTCACGTGGAGGTGGGCAAGGCTCGTTGCCGGTGGGAGGTCACGGGATAGACACAACAACAACACCACCTGCCATTCACCGCTAAGCGGCGGTGATGTCACCACGGCGCCTGTGCCAGGCCAGGTGCACCGAGGCCACGTGACGTGTCGAAGGCTCGCTGCTGGCAAGAGGTCACGCGAAAGACCAAGGTGCCATGGGTTGACTGACTGATATGACTGGCAGATGCACCACCTGTGCCCCCTACTGTGCCAAATGACACACACACACACACACATATATATGTACAAAGGTATAAAGATCTCCCGTGGCACCCCACACTGGCGGTTTAGGCAAGTGCTGTTAATTGAACACCTGCGACGGCTGCCACGATGCACGAGGCGGTGATGTAGCCAGCATCACGCCCGGCCACCTTTGACTCTCATTTCAGGCCGAGTCGACCTCGGGGAAGCCCAGGACTGATCGAAGTATTCGTCGCCGACGTTTGCTGCGAGAATGAAATCGAACTCGGTCGCTAGGTTCATAGTGTGGTGCACTCACCACTCCGCTTGAGCCGTTCTCGATCCACTGCTGGACGAAGGACTCCCAATGCCTTCACGGAAATCATGAGGGCCGTCTAAGCCAGCGGTCGGGAACCTATGGCTCGCGAGCCATATATGGCTCTTCCGGTGATGGCATATGGCTCCCAGACAATTTTGAGTTGAAAAAAATAATTAAAAAAAAATCAGTTTGGAACGGATTTTAAAATACTTGTGATATTGCTTAATAATACTGTGTCATTTTAAAGTAAACAGAAATTAGTTTTGAAGATAAAATTTCTCGGGTCACGGGTCCCGTGACCAGAAGTCACATTAAAAGTAAGACATATTTAATTTATTATACGTTAAAAATACTATATGGCTCTCAATGAAATATATTTAGAAATATTTGGCTTTTATGGCTCTCCCAGTCAAAAAGGTTCCCGACCCCTGGTCTAAGCCGTCACTACTCCGGTCGGTGCGGGAATATTGATAATGTGGATGTCGGCCTTGTGCTTCAAACGGCCTGCCCTGATTTCTTCAATACCTACAATGTTGTGGACAACGCTCTTAGACGCAGGCCGACCTGATTTTCTTGACCCACCCCAACTGGACATTTGTGAAAACGAGCTTCGTAGCTCATTTGATTCCTCCAGTAGAAAGATTCCGATTCGGATTCTCCGTTACAAAGCGCTCACACGCCGGCTCGACCAGCCTGGATAGCCGCCTTCGTCTTATTGTACGATCCCCCCCCCCCTTCTCTCCCTCCTCCCCCCCTTCCTCCTCCCCCCCCTCCTCCTCCTCCCCCCTTCCTCCTCCTCCCCCCTTCCTCCTCCTCCCCCCTTCCTCCTCCTCCCCCCTTCCTCCTCCTCCCCCCCCCTCCTCCCCCTCCCCCCCCTCCTCCTCCTCCTCCCCCCACTCCTCCTACAGAGACCCAGAATCACACAGGGATGCAGACTCGCACAGAGACCCTGTCATAGCTCCGGCCGTCGGGAGTGTTCACCGCCTCATCCTCTCATCGCGCCACACATCGGCGTCGTCACTTCCGTCACTCTCACGCCTCCTCTTCAACTCTCTCCAAATTATTCTCGCGCGTGCGTTCCGTGCGTTCTTTTTGCAAGCTCATGTTGTGGCGCGTTACAAACGGTGGGAAAGGACGCGACGGGTCCGGGGTGGACAAGCGGCACGCGGCAGAGGTCGCAACCGGATACTCGATACCCGTACCCTACCGATACCCGGCTACTCGTACACGGCCGGGTACGGGTAGCCGTTTGCAACCCTGGTGCGGCCGGGTACGGGTAAACCGTGAGTCACTGGTGAGTCACCGTTTGTCACTCATTTCCCAACGTCTTGTCTCTTCTCACAATTCAAGTTCCTAGAATCAACCAACCCGCGCCTGCAACATGTCTTCATCCCAGAGGTCGCAATCAGGTACCCGATACCCATACCCTACCCGTACCCGGCCGGGTACGGGTAGGGTACGGCCGGGTACGGGTACCCGTTTGCGACCCTGGTGCGGCTGGGTACGGGTACGGGTAAGGAATCAAAACCCGTTTGCGACCTCTGGCACGCGGTGTGGACGAGCGGCACGCGGTGTGGACGAGCGGCACCTGTGCGAGCGCGAGGGCGCTGAGCGGCGTGTCCTCCGCCGGCTTCACCACGGCCGTGCAGCCCGCGGCGAGCGCAGCGCCCACCTTCCGTGTGATCATCGCCACAGGAAAATTCCACTGCACAGACACGCGCACGCACGCACAAAGACACAAGCAGACACACGCACAGAGGCAGAGGCAAACACGCACATGGCAGATACACGCGCGCAGACATGCACACACGCAGACACAGAGACACAAAGATAGACGCAGACACACTCGCACACACACGCAGACACGCAAACAAAGACAAAGATCCCCAGTATAGCTTTAACAGACTTTTGGGACAAGTGCTTTTAACCAACACTGGAACGGTACACAAGGGTGATTGGCTTTGTCTGCCTCGTGGTGATGTTTACACGCCGTACCAGGCACTCATTTGACGCCGAGTCGACCTCGGGAAGACCCAGGACCGATTCAGAAAATCATCACTGGTGTTGGCCACGAGCAGGAATTGAACACACGCAGACACACGGGGGGGGGGCAGACACACGTAAACACGCATGCAGACACATGAAACGATGCACACAGATGCACGCAATTATGCCGAGCGCTATTGCACAATCTCACTCGGTGTTTACCCCAGAAGGCTGCCGTGTCAAGCACAGACCAATTCGCCACCATCCCAGCGCTGGTCAGTGCTGGGATGAAGGTGGGTGGCATATATATAGCAGCAGGGACATACAGTGCATTCCTTCCACGATGCGAATATCGTGGTTACGCACAAACCTACCTGCACACACACACACACACATGTAAACTCGCATGGAAAAATGAGTGCACACACGCATAATGAAACACTCATGCAACTCTTCAACATTAAGAGCCGCCATTTGCCACCAGGGTGGCGGTGACGTGCCCCACGGCGCTTGTGCCATGCTAGGTGCACTCGGAAGCCACGTCAAGTGTCGAAGGCTCGCTGACATGAGGTAACGAGACAGACCCAGGTGCCATGCGTTGACCGACTGAGGTGACTGGCAGATGCTGCACCACCTGTGCTCCCTACTGTGCCAACTTTATGCATTTTAGCCTCCCGGCGCCCGGCTCGTTGCGAGCGTCGCTCCTGTGCCCTCCCTTGTTATTGGAGGACGACTGCCTCCAAAAAACGTACCCACACACCCATTCACATGTACTCGCATACAAAGATCACCCCACACCATCAACCGTAACAGACTGTTGGGGAGAGTGCTGCTAGCGAGCATGAAGGCCGGCAGTGGCACATGAGGGGGTGGTTTTCCAGGCCATTTGACTCCCCAGCGCCGATGTACGCGTACACCGCACCGGGTACAGGGGCCCTAGGGCCTCTGGGTTGATTAGAACTACTCTTTATGATGTGGAGAGGCAGCACCATCAAGGAGATGCATTGTCTGCGAACCTATTTCATCACTTGTACTCGTGGGTTAGCAGCCTGCGCTAGCTGATGAGTCAGAGCAGCCCAGGCTAGAGGAGTAGAGACCCAGACTAGAGGAGTAGAGACCCAGGCTAGAGGAGTAGAGGCCCAGGCTAGAGGAGTAGAGACCCAGACTAGAGGAGTAGAGACCCAGGCTAGAGGAGTAGAGACCCAGACTAGAGGAGTAGAGACCCAGACTAGAGGAGTAGAGACCCAGACTAGAGGAGTAGAGACCCAGACTAGAGGAGTAGAGACCCAGACTAGAGGAGTAGAGACCCAGGCTAGAGGAGTAGAGACCCAGGCTAGAGGAGTAGAGACCCAGACTAGAGGAGTAGAGACCCAGACTAGAGGAGTAGAGACCCAGACTAGAGGAGTAGAGACCCAGGCTAGAGGAGTAGAGACCCAGGCTAGAGGAGTAGAGACCCAGGCTAGAGGAGTAGAGGCCCAGGCTAGAGGAGTAGAGACCCAGACTAGAGGAGTAGAGAGAGACCCAGACTAGAGGAGTAGAGACCCAGACTAGAGGAGTAGAGACCCAGACTAGAGGAGTAGAGACCCAGACTAGAGGAGTAGAGACCCAGGACTAGAGGAGTAGAGACCCAGACTAGAGGAGTAGAGACCCAGACTAGAGGAGTAGAGGACCCAGGCTAGAGGAGTAGAGACCCAGGACTAGAGGAGTAGAGACCCAGGACTAGAGGAGTAGAGACCCAGACTAGAGGAGTAGAGACCCAGACTAGAGGAGTAGAGACCCAGACTAGAGGAGTAGAGGCCCAGACTAGAGGAGTAGAGACCCAGACTAGAGGAGTAGAGACCCAGGCTAGAGGAGTAGAGACCCAGGCTAGAGGAGTAGAGACCCAGACTAGAGGAGTAGAGACCCAGACTAGAGGAGTAGAGACCCAGACTAGAGGAGTAGAGACCCAGACTAGAGGAGTAGAGACCCAGACTAGAGGAGTAGAGACCCAGGCTAGAGGAGTAGAGACCCAGACTAGAGAGTAGAGAAGTAGAGACCCAGACTAGAGGAGTAGAGACCCCAGACTAGAGGAGTAGAGACCCAGACTAGAGGAGTAGAGGCGTAGGACCCCAGACTAGAGGAGTAGAGACCCAGACTAGAGGAAGTAGAGACCCAGACTAGAGGAGAGTAGAGACCCAGACTAGAGGAGTAGAGACCCAGACTAGAGGAGTAGTAGAGACCCAGACTAGAGGAGTAGAGACCCAGACTAGAGGAGTAGAGTACCCAGCTAGAGGAGTAGAGACCAGGACTAGAGGAGTAGAGGACCCAGGCTAGAGGAGTAGAGGCCCAGACTAGAGGAGTAGAGAACCCAGCTAGAGGAGTAGATAGAGACCCAGACTAGCGGAGTAGAGGACCCGGTATAGAGGAGTAGAGACCCAGGCTAGAGGAGTAGAGACCCAGGCTAGAGGAGTAGAGACCCAGGCTAGAGGAGTAGAGACCCAGGCTAGAGGCGTAGAGACCCAGACTTAGAGGAGTAGAGACCCAGGACTAGAGGAGTAGAGACCCAGACTAGAGGAGTAGTAGAGTAGAACCCAGGCTAGAGGAGTAGAGACCCAGACTAGAGGAGTAGAGACCCAGGATAGAGGAGTAGAGACCCAGACTAAAGGAGTAGAGACCCAGGCTAGAGGAGTAGAGACCCAGACTAGAGGAGTAGAGACCCAGGCTAGAGGAGTAGAGGCCCAGACTAGAGGAGTAGAGACCCAGACTAGAGGAGTAGAGACCCAGACTAGAGGAGTAGAGGCCCAGGCTAGAGGAGAAGAGACCCAGACTAGAGGAGTAGAGACCCAGGCTAGAGGAGAAGAGACCCAGACTAGAGGAGTAGAGACCCAGGCTAGAGGAGTAGAGACCCAGACTAGAGGAGTAGAGACCCAGGCTAGAGGAGTAGAGACCCAGGCTAGAGGAGTAGAGACCCAGGCTAGAGGAGTAGAGACCCAGACTAGAGGAGTAGAGACCCAGACTAGAGGAGTAGAGACCCAGGCTAGAGGAGTAGAGACCCAGGCTAGAGGAGTAGAGGCCCAGACTAGAGGAGTAGAGACCCAGACTAGAGGAGTAGAGACCCAGACTAGAGGAGTAGAGGCCCAGGCTAGAGGAGAAGAGACCCAGACTAGAGGAGTAGAGACCCAGGCTAGAGGAGAAGAGACCCAGACTAGAGGAGTAGAGACCCAGACTAGAGGAGTAGAGACCCAGGCTAGAGGAGTAGAGACCCAGACTAGAGGAGTAGAGACCCAGACTAGAGGAGTAGAGACCCAGGCTAGAGGAGTAGAGACCCAGACTAGAGGAGTAGAGACCCAGACTAGAGGAGTAGAGACCCAGGCTAGAGGAGTAGAGACCCAGGCTAGAGGAGTAGAGACCCAGACTAGAGGAGTAGAGGCCCAGGCTAGAGGAGTAGAGACCCAGGCTAGAGGAGTAGAGACCAGCTAGAGGTAGAGACCCAGACTAGAGGAGTAGAGGACCCAGCTAGAGGAGTAGAGACCCAGGCTAGAGGAGTAGAGACCCAGCTAGAGGAGTAGAGACCCAGACTAGAGGAGTAGAGACCCAGACTAGAGGAGTAGAGACCCAGACTAGAGGAGTAGAGACCCAGGACTAGAGGAGGTAGAGACCCAGGACTAGAGGAGTAGAGACCCAGACTAGAGGAGTAGAGACCCAGGCTAGAGGAGTAGAGACCCAGGCTAGAGGAGTAGAGACCCAGACTAGAGGAGTAGAGACCCAGACTAGAGGAGTAGAGACCCAGGCTAGAGGAGTAGAGACCCAGACTAAAGGAGTAGAGACCCAGGCTAGAGGAGTAGAGACCCAGACTAGAGGAGTAGAGACCCAGGCTAGAGGAGTAGAGACCCAGACTAGAGGAGTAGAGACCCAGGCTAGAGGAGTAGAGACCCAGACTAGAGGAGTAGAGACCCAGACTAGAGGAGTAGAGACCCAGGCTAGAGGAGTAGAGACCCAGACTAAAGGAGTAGAGACCCAGGCTAGAGGAGTAGAGACCCAGGCTAGAGGAGTAGAGACCCAGGCTAGAGGAGTAGAGACCCAGGCTAGAGGAGTAGAGACCCAGGCTAGAGGAGTAGAGACCCAGGCTAGAGGAGTAGAGACCCAAACTAGAGGAGTAGAGACCCAGACTAGAGGAGTAGAGACCCAGACTAGAGGAGTAGAGACCCAGACTAGAGGAGTAGAGGCCCAGGCTAGAGGAGTAGAGACCCAGACTAGAGGAGTAGAGACCCAGACTAGAGGAGTAGAGACCCAGACTAGAGGAGTAGAGACCCAGACTAGAGGAGTAGAGGCCCAGACTAGAGGAGTAGAGGCCCAGACTAGAGGAGTAGAGACCCAGACTAGAGGAGTAGAGACCCAGACTAGAGGAGTAGAGACCCAGGCTAGAGGAGCAGAGACCCAGGCTAGAGGAGCAGAGACCGAGGCTAGCGGCCCGTGGTGGCGGTTAGCGACGCGGGCTCACTGGAGTGATCATGGCGGCGACACCGACGGGCTGGTAGATGGAGAACATGCGGCGGTCGGGCGCAGCCGAGGGGATGATCTGTCCGTACGCGCGTCGCGCCTCCTCGCCGAACCACTCGAGGAATGCCGCGCCATACGACACCTCCCCCAGAGACTCCTGCTGCGGCTTGCCCTGACGCACGCGCAGGAAAGAAGCGCGCGGAGGCACAGGGAGGTGAGAGGAGATGCGGAGAGGAGACACGGGGAGATGGAGAGGAGACACGGGGAGCCACAGGGAGCCACGGGGAGGTGAGAGGAGACACGGGGAGGACCACGACTCACGCTCTCAGCTGTGATGAGCTGCGCCAGCTCCTGGCGGTTCTGCAGGATGACCTCGTACCATCTCTTGAGCAGAGCCCCTCGCTCCTGTGTGCGGGACGGGGTGACAATGATAGCGTGTGTTACACGCATTGTGTGTGGGCACAGGGTGTGGGCTCTGCGTGGCCACCGTGCAGAAGAGATGGTGCTGATGCTGTTCGGGAGGATGTGGAGCCAAGTTGACTTGCCAAAGACTGGTACCAAAGGTGTGTCAAGGCCTAAGAGTGCACAGGGCTTTGCACAAGCGCCGTGTGGTCGTCACCGCCACTCCGTGGCGAATGGGGGCTTGCTGCTGCTACTGCTGCTGTTGTGCACTGTGCGTGTTACATGCGTTGTCAAATATGTGCTTTGTTTGAGCACTACAACAATAATTATAATTATTGTAGGCTCATCTTGCAGTGCCAGGCGACAGCAGCTTCAACAGCAACACATGGAGGGAGGGCCCAAAGTCCACCATAGAGTCCGGTCAGGGGGGGGGGGGAGGCAATGTGTGACAGGAGTCTGCAGCTGACCCCATTCACTACCGAGGAGGGAACACGCCGAGATGGAGAAGGCAACCGCTGCGGAGATGGAACGCTGACATCGTGAAGTCGCAGGGCTGTGAGGCATGGCAACAGTGTTGTGGAGGCTTTCATTTAGCAGTGAATAAATCAGGACGAATGACGACAATGATTTGCAATTAACCAGTCACGTGACGGAGAACGTCTCCACTTTGGAACAGATTCCACACTTTCAAAACACAACCTCACAAACCCAGCTTCCAGCATTTACCAATTGCAAATCTGTGCACGCAGCCACATAAAACACTCAAGCCACCCACAACATTAGCACTTAAATGGAGTGCACTGGCACAGCTAACTATAACTTCGGCAAAATGAATGTTGATCAAAGCAATATATTTTCCTACACGTGATGCCAGCTGGATTGTTACATCACAGGATCATGAGAGGTGATGGAGGCTTGGTAAGGCCTTCATCCAGCAGTAGATTACTCAGGGATGATGATGATGATGATGATTTTATTACAACCAAATTCTTCCCGAATGCATTAGATCTAGCTGGAGCTCGAACGCCAAGCAGGATTTAGTCTGGTTAGTAGAGTACTTGGATGGGAGACAGCCCAGGATTACAAGGTGTTGTATCTTTTTTGCCTGTGATGTGGTCATCACAGCAATACAAGAATGCATTTTTGTTTCCATCTGTGTAGAGCTTTGAGTTTTACCCCATGTATTCTTGGTTGATTTTCTCTGGTAACTCCACACTCTCCATGGCTGTGTCAGAAACGCTGAGCGAGCACCACTAAGGTCAAAGCTTTCTGGGTCGGGGTCTGTGTTGCTCCCCCCCTATGGGGCCGGTCCATAATGGCTGCGTCAGAGAGCCTACGGATGGATGCGTCATTCGTTTGGCACGCAAACATTTCGCCCACATTCGGCACCACATCGGGTGGCCGGGCCCGTGGAATTGGAGATAAATACTGGGTTAAGAATTAACAGCGCAAGCTAGCTATGGGGGAGAAAACCTGCTGAGCTGGCAACACATGAAAGCCAGGCTGACCATGTAGAGAAGTTATAGAATTAACCAGAGCATCTTACATCATTGGCTAACACGGGAAGGGTGACACCACGCACCCACAAGAGACGGTCATTCGACGAACATTACTCTTGGCAGCAGAATGGTTGGGAAAGTGATGCCCCTCCCCCCTTCCCTATAAACCAGAGGTCAACTTATAGGGATCTGAGATGTAGGTCTGTGAAATCTACTTCCGTGGTCCGTTCTCAAACAATGAAGGTGTTGCACCTCTGAGATTTCCGCACGTGGGTTCTACATCTCGTAACGTGACACCCATAAACACAATCGGGATATAATTTAGGGAAAAGATGTTTTATAATCATGGACTCATAGCGTGGGAGGAAAGGCTTGTTTATGACATGCCTATGATTCTACGAACAAAGATCCCCCATATAGCCTTAGAAGACTGTTGGGGCAAGGGCTGTTAACGAGCACCCTATGTATGTTGAACTTCTTTCACACCGCACGTATGAAGTCCAGCAAGGCACACGAGGTGGTTGGAAAATACCACACCTTTGTCTTCTAGTAGCAATGTTTGACACGTCGCACCAGGTACTCATTTGAGGATGCATTGATCTAGGCCAGGGGTCGGCAACCAAAATAACAAGAAGAGCCATTTCTTTCCAATTCGGTACAAAATTCAGTATTTCAAGAGCCGCAATGCATCTGAGTACATACTGTACATACGTACATATCGTCACGAAGCAGCCCGTAAAGAGCCGCATGCGACTCCGGAGCCGTAGGTTGCCGACCCCTGATCTAGGCCATCTAGGGGATGCCTAGGACCGGTTCAGATAATCGTCCCTGGTGTTGACCATCGTCAGGAATGTAATTCGGGTCGCTGGGCTCATAGGGCAAGATCATCTACCATACACGTACATTTTTTTTGAACATGCACATGTACTTAACCTTTGCTCAAAACAAAACTCTGACCCCAAACTGAAACTCTAACCAGGCGAGCAGACCACTGGCAAACCAAACCAACAAGAACGCTCTCGGGTTTCGCTTGGTACGAGAGGCATGTGGAGCACATGTACCGCTCGTTGTCCTTCCCCCGCACCTCCGATTAGCACGGTTGGCTACGTACGGTGCGTAAGAAGTTCAACATAAATACGTGCGGACATTTTTCAGTCCACTGCTGGATGAGCGTCTCACCAAGCTTATGCGGGTCGTGACGGTAGTTCGACCATACTTCACCACGCTTGTCAGTGCGGGTTGGTCGAGGCGGGAAGCAACATTGCTCTGGTCTCTATGACGACGGGAACGCCCAGCCCGCGGGCCATATAAGGCCCGCGAAATCATTTGGTCTGTTCCAGCCATCACATTAGGGGCGAGTTAATACTGGTTGGAACCTCCTGGTTACACCAGCCCACAGGGGATTATGGTGTCCGTTCGTCCGTCGTGCAGGGAGGGGCTGGGTGGGGAGGGGCTGGGTGGGGAGGGCGGGGCTGGGTGGGGCTGGGTGGGGAGGGGCTGGTCACCCCGTGGTGCCCTTATAAAACTCAACGTTTAACCTACTCACGCCGGCTTGTGCCCGCCCTCACAGTCGGGCATATTTGCGGAATACACCACGTTCATTGACCCTGGCCATTGACCGAGCAACCCAACGTTCCTACCAGCTCCCTCCGCAGGAATGTGTTTAAATGTTTGCCCAAATATAACAGGCACATTTTTAAGTTGATAATTTTGTTTGGTGTTATAAATATCCAAATGGCCCTTGGCAGAAAAAAGGTTCCCCACCCCCGCATGTGCTGTGAATAGTAGCACCAGACAGGGCATTACATAATTGTATTAACCCTTTATGTTTAAGGCCACAGTGTTACCGTATGTCATTCAGAGATGTGCAGTCACCTCTTTGCTCATTCCTTAACCCCCCACCCCACCTCCTTGCGCAGTTTACATGCGTGAGCATGCATGTCATCGTCATTATCAGCCATGATCCATCCACTGCTGGATGAAGGCATCCACACGCCCACCATCACCAACAAGCCATCGCCATGTCACGGTCTCGCCATGCACGAGGGATGATTTTCATATCTCCATCTCCGCGGCAGACGTGCTCTGGACGGGCATGTTCCCTTATGGCCGTCCGCAGGTGATTGCCAACAGCCTGCGAAAGACTATTGGAGGATTCATCTTCTTGGTTCTTTCGGTAAAGTCACGTAGAAGGGAAATAATAAAATAATAAAAATAAAAAAATTTAAATAATTCTCACGACGTTTCGGCCACAACGCAAGCAGCCGTCCTCAGGTGAAGAACAGGTCTGTCAGAAAGACAGCGTCTGAATGAACACCAACCAGGCTTGGCAGCGTATATGTAAGCTGGGTTGGAGGGGGAAGGGCGCCTTGACAAAGGAATTTGCATATCAAGAGGAATTAAGCATATTTATGGCAAAATGTAGATATGGGATTAGTCACTACTTGTGGAATGCGTAGGAGGTGGGGGGGTCAAAGCCCGTGCATTATGCAGTATGCAGGATTAGCAGCATCAAAGGGAGGGAGTCGGGTTAGCAGTAAGAGGGAAGGAATTTTAATAGTAAGGAGCTGCAGCAGCTAAACCACCACGTAAAAAACTAAAATCTAAACTACATCAGTATCATCGATATACTAAATATACTCTCCAATCTTATTTTATTATTTCCCTTCTACGTGACTTTACCGAAAGAACCAAGAAGATGAATCCCTGCAGTCACGAAAGCTTTAAATCGAAACTATAGGAGGGTCTTTGTCTATTTCCATTTGTATAAGTGTCATCCAAGTGCAACTGCATATGCGACGGTATGTGTGCTTTCTCTCAGTGCTTCCATGTGTACAAGGAGTGCATACATGTTTATCAACCATTTGTACGATTGTGCACAGGAATGTGTATGCATATCGACTGACACGCATGCTCCCCTACACCTATCATCACGTCGCACACATCTAAAACACATGCATACAGTACTCACAAAGACAAAGTTCCCCCGCATAGCCTTAAGAGACTGTAGGGGCAAGAGCTGTTAGCGAGCACCTATTAAGGCCTGAACGGTACACGAGTGGGTGGGTGGCAAGCACCACGCCCGACCGCCTTTGTCTCCCCGGTGGTGATGTTTACACACGGCGACAGGTACTCATTTGAGGCCGAGTCGACCTAAGGGGAGGCCCGGGACCGGCTCAGATAATCGTCCCTGGGAGCGGGAATCGAACCCGGGTCGCTGGGTTCATAGCGCAGCGTAGCGCTAACCGCTGCACCACCGCTCCCCACAATACAGTACTCACAAGTACATGTACACACCGCACCACCAGTACACGTGCAACGTTGGGTTAATGTTGCACATTAACTGGGAAGCTCACATGAACCATCACACGCTCACCACATGAACACACACCTCAATACACAAACACACATCACATACACCCATCAACATGCACAACGCATCACCGACCCTACACTCATCACGCACACAACAACAACCGCCATTCGCCACTAAGTGGCGGTGACATCACCACGACGCTTGTGCCAGGCTAGGTGCACCTTGAGGCTGCCACGTGAAGTGTCGAACGCCCGCCGGCAGTAGGTCACGGGGCAGACCCAGCAGGTGCCACGGGTCGACTGACCGAGACGACTGGCTGATGCACCACCTGTGCCCCCCCCTACTGTGTCAACTTGCTGTGTTTTATCCACCCGGCTCTCCGCTCGTTGTTGTGAGCGTCGCTCCTCTACCCTCCGTTGTTGTTGTGAGGGCGACTGCCTCCAACTACACACACCACTCACCACCACACACACACACAACATCAACCAACCTTGGCCGTGGTTTTCTTCCACGTGTGGAACGCTGTGTGAGCCGCCTCCACGGCCCGCGTCGCCTCCACCATCCCGCAGTCGGCCACTCGCGCCACGCGACGCCCCGTGGCCGGGTCGTCCACCTCGAACGAGGCGCCGCCCTCGGATGGAACCCACTGCCCGCCGACGTGCGCCTCTTCCCGCAGGAGCCGCGCGTAGCACCGTAGGCCCGACCCGGGGTCCCGGGTCAAATCGAGTTTTGTTACGGCCGGTCGCTTCGCCGTCCAGAGACCGAGCCGAACGCCGGATTTGAGCATTGCGAATCGGTGTAATTGGCTTTATTAATTTCAAATTGCGAGGAGCGATGTTTTAGCCGCTGCCGACACTCGACAACAAACCCGTGTGTATCCTAAGTTGCTCTCTGCCGTGTGGGACTGATGGGGGGGGGGGTCCTTATATATGCGCTGCTTGCACGCAATTGGTTGGGAGTGAGGCACGTGGTGCGTGTGGGGGGGGGGGGAGTGGGGGGTGGGGGAGCTGAGTGGACTCTTCAACGATTCTAGATTTGAAGCTTTCGTGACTGCAAGGATTCATACTCTTAGTTCTGTCGGTAAAGTCACGTAGGTAGAAAATGAAATAAAAATTCATAAAAATAAAACAATAAAATCACGACGGTTCGGAGGCAACACAAGTCTCCGTCTTCAGGTGCTACCGTCACAGCCACGACAGCTGTATCAAGTAAATGATTGCCACCAGCAGTGTTCAAGATCGGCCTCTGTGGAGGAGAAGGGAGGCTCGTGAAGGACGCTGCTACTGGGGTAGTCGGAGGCAGGCGCCCTCCGGCAACGACGGAGGGCCATGGCTGATATAATAACTATCATTGCTTATTAATCAAGGAATGCCAGACTGCGTCCAATCAAGGAATACCAGACTGTGTCGAATTACTCTTTTTTTACGAGGAGGGTTCAGTTACACTGGGTTTTTTTTATTGTAAGATGTTTTCAACCTGCCGGAGCACTGCACAAGCAGGAAACCCACGCGCGTGAGAGGGTAGGACATCACAAACACGATGACATTAAGTTTAACATGATTTGGAGCTTTCGTGACTGCAGGAATTACTCTTTGGTTCTTTCGGTAAAGCCACGTATACATTTCTACGTGGCTTTACCGAAAGAACCAAAGAGTAAATTTAACATTTTACCGCTGTGACATTGGTGCTATAAGAACGCGTTTCTTTCGGAGTAAATTGACCGCACGGTAAAAAAAAAAAAGTTGGTAGGACATCACTCTGTCCCCGTACGGACAGCACAACAGATGGAGATTAGTCCACACTTGCTTGTACCGCCTTCTGGCGGAAAGATGTAGCGTGGTTGGGTCGCGAGGAACGGAGTTCGAGGGAAACCCTGCGCACATTTGAAGTACGGCATCGCGAAATCCGAGTGGCCACGTGCAGGCGTAACTCTCTGCACGCACCACCAGGGGGCAGGGGAGAGCTGTACCGCGTTGCCTCGACAAGAGTGAGCGTTGTCGCGAAACAAACGAACTTTTTACATTTTTTTTTATTTTACCAGATAAGGCCCACTGAGCTACATAGCTCTTTTTAAATCCTTTATATTACTGTAAGTTCACTTGCTTGCGCGCTTACGACCGTGCAAATCTTTCGGTCGTTTTTTTAACCCACTTCCCGTGATCCAATCGAGCTGACATTTTGCACACAGACTCGTTGTGCGTGATAATTTCTTTTCGTGAAATTTTTTCTCCAAAATTTTAAACTTTTTAGGTAAAAAAACAAAAATATTTAATTACCAATTGCTTAATGGTGGCAGGCAATCATCTGACCCATAGGTGGCAGCCATCTCAAGCCAGAGGACAAGAGGACTCGAGCCGCCCGTTTCAAAGACCAATGTGGGCTGGGTTGTGGCCCATTGAACACGCATATAAGGGATTTATAGTGAAAAACTTTGTTTTTACGGGTTAATTTTTTCATAAGCGACCTAGCCACAAATGATAACCCAATGAAGTAGCTTACGTGGCAATGTATAGCAGCCAAATAACTCCAATGGCATGTTTCTAAATGTGGAGGGAAAAACCGGAGGACCCGGAGAAAAAACATCCAAGCAACCACGGGGAGAGAGAACACGCGAATTACAAATATACAGCAGCAGGCGTCAGGGTCGGGATCGAACCCACGACCTCCTGCACACCAGGCGAGGTAGTTAACATCTCATAGCCACCGTGATGATGATGATGATGAGAGAGAGACACGCAAACTCCAAATATGCAGCAGGCGTCAGGGTCGGGATCGGGATCGAACCCACGACCATCCTGTATACCAGGCGAGGTAGTTAACATCTCATAGCCACGACGCTCCTCATTACTCGATGGGGCAGAGAGCCCCTTCAGTGGTCAAGCGGGAGCAGACTTAGGAACGGTGGAAGGCCTCCTTGTAAGCCCACTCGCTGCATGTATGTTATTTGATTTCTACGGTTTGTATTTGAAGCTTTCGTGACTGCAAGGATTCATACTCTTAGTTCTTTCGGTAAAGTCACGTAGGTAAAAAAATGAAATAAAAATGAATAAAAATAAAACAATAAAAAACAAAAAATCACGACGTTTCGGAGGCAACACAATTCTCCGTCATCAGGTGGGACCGTCACAGCCAGATTTGCTGCATCAAGTGAGGCAAGGATTCAAGATGTAAGCCCTTAAATGCAAGTTGAGGGGGGAGGAGAGGGGGGGGGGGCAGCTTATCAGAATGTGGTAGCCAATGAATGGAACGTATCGGGAGGGATGGGGGCAGAGCTAAAAGAAGGCACGAAGTGCTACGTAGAACGTATCGGGAGGGGGGAGGGGGCGGGGCCCCCATCTTCTTTCCCTCCCCCCATACGTCCCCCTCTTCCCTTGGTCTCCCCTGAGCGTGTTGGTTATCCCCCCCCCCCCCCCACTTTTTCTCCTCCCCATTGAAATCTTCATCTTTCTCCCAACGCGAGGTCCCCATTTGGTTGGGGCAGCAGGAGTTCCTCTATCCATTCTCTCCTCCCCCTATCGTGTGATTCCGTCGCGCAGGAATGGATTATCGCGCATTTGATGTAACCCCGTCACCGGAATATTTCAGCGTGTTGTCGTCGGAGTCGCGTTTGGTTGTAATAAAAATCATATGAAAAAAATGAGCTTGAACCATCACACGAACTCCGCTCTCTGGTCATCCTCGCAGTGGTGGCTTTTGGCTGCCCATTGAACGAAGACGGTGACCGCATCGCGCGCTTTCAGATGCGCTTCCGCGGCCGTCTGGAACGCTCTTCCTTCCGATGTTGGGAAGCCACTGCAGCTATGCACTCTTAAATCATCGTCTAGATCAGCGGTCGGGAACCTATGGCTCGCGAGCCATATATGGCTCTTCCGGTGACGGCATATGGCTCCCAGACAAATTTGAGTTGAATAATAAAAAACTAAAAATAAAATCAGTTTGGAACTGATTTTAAAATACTTGTGATATTGCTTAATAATACTGTGTCATTTTAAAGTAAACAGAAATTAGTTTTGAAGATTACATTTCTCGGGTCACGGATCCCGTGACCAGAAGTCACATTAAAAGTAAGACATATTTAATTTATTATACGTTAAAAATACTATATGGCTCTCAATGAAATATAGTTAGAAATATTTGGCTTTTATGGCTCTCCCAGTCAAAAAGGTTCCCGACCCCTGGTCTAGATGGAAAACGGATTTCTTGAGAACTCATTTTTGTTTTTCGTTTCTTGTTCTTCCCCCCGCACCTCCCATGAGAACAGTTGGCTACCTACGGTTTTAAATGATTTCAACATATGTACCTGACTTTGAGTCATGCGTTTTATAGTTTTGCGTCAAACTAGGACCCATGTCTTAAAAAGGAGGCAAAAAAAATCTTTCCCCCTCTTTTTTTTGCCTCCTAATGACGATCGCTTGTGTTGTGATCAAAACGTCGTAGTTTTGTGTTATTTTCTTTGAACCTATCTACGTGTTTTTCCCCGAAAGACCCAAAAAAACGTATTCACCCTTATCTCGTGCACCAGTGCCGTTTGTCGCTGGCGTTTTTGAGTCTTTTAATTCCATGACCAACGTGCAGTACTGTTTTGTAAATGGGGCGCCGCGATGGGGAGATGTTAACTACCTCGCCTGCTATACAGGAATTTGTGGGTTCGATCCCGACCCTGACGCCTGCTGCTGTATATCTGGAGTTTGCGTCTCTCTCTCTCTCCTCGTGGTCGCGTGGATGTTTCTCCAGACCCTTCGGTTTTTCCCTCCACATTTCGACTCAACATCCACGCGTTTAGAGTATTTGGCGGCTGTAAATTTCCACGCGATGATAACCCACTTCGTTGAGCTATCATTTACGTGCATCTCAGTGGGTGCCTTACCTGTTCAAATAAAAACAAGTGACGTGATCACATCTATCCTTCTAAATTAAGGAGCGAAACCGGAGGATTTCTCCACAAATCCAGCTGCCGCCTGATGAAGCTAGTTGTAATTACTGGCGAAACGTCGTACTCGGATTGCAAATGTTGTGGATTTGCTCTCCAACACAAAACCGGTTAGTGCTGTACTAGTATACTACACTATACACTACACTACACACTAGTGCTGTACTAGTATACTACTCTATACACTACACTATACACTACACTACTATACACTACACTACTATACACTACACACTAGTGCTGTACTAGTATACTACACTATACACTACACTATACACTACACTATACACTACACTATGCACTACACTACTATACACTACACACTAGTGCTGTACTAGTATACTACACTACACACTAGTGCTGTACTAGTATATTGCACTATACACTACACTATACACTACACTATACACTACACACTAGTGCTGTACTAGTATACTACACTACACACTAGTGCTGTACTAGTATATTGCACTATACACTACACTATACACTACACTATACACTACACACTACACACTAGTGCTGTACTAGTATACTACACTATACACTACACACTAGTGCTGTACTAGTATACTACACTATACACTAGTGCTGTACTAGTGACGAATTGGCACGTCCTGTTCACGTGACACTAAACCTTGCTAATTGGCCGTGTCGGGTGGTGGCGGGTTTACCGACACATTTATAATTACGCGATTTAACCCAACACAAAGAAAAAAAACCTCTCTATCACGGATAGTTGATTAGTTTCAGAACACCGCTAGAGGCCGCTATGGAATAGATTTGGAGTTCACGGCTGAGGGGCGGGGCCAGATTGGGGAGGACACCTGGTGGGGGGGGGGGTGGAGGGGGAGGGGCATGCCCCCCCCCCCTCCACCTCAGTGATCACGTGACGGCTGCTTCAGAGTCACATCACTTACTGGAAACGACGTGGGAGACAGCGGGGTGGGGGGAA